TCCCAGCACTTGGGAGGCTGAAAACAGGAGAATCACTACAAGTCTGATCTACATAGTGAGACCCTGTAGACCCTGTAGACCTTGTCCTAGATACAGAAAAAATAAAATAAAATAAAATAAAATAAAAAATTCAGTCAGAACAGCTTAGAAAAGCTATGAAAGACAATATACATTCTGGTTCCTAAAAATTTATTTCAACATTCAAGAGTTATTATTGTGGGGCTAGAGGTATAGCTCAATGGTAGAGCACCTGTGTAGCATACATGAAGCCCTGGGCTGTCTCCAGCACCACACACACACACACACACACACGAGTGCATTTGTTCTGATAACTAGATTCCTGAGCCTCACTATAAGAGACCTTGGTAGAAGAGTCAGCTCTCTCCCATGTCTGGAAACTCTAGCTATAATCCACTTGATCCAAATGACCAAAGTGAGATCCTATCACTGATGTGACCAAAACAACTGAAATCTCATTTTAAAAGTGAGCTTTCTGAAAAACAAGTATAGGCCATTCTCCTAAGAGTTTAGTATTGTGGATACTATTTATTACAAAAAGTACCCTGAAGATGCAAAGGTCACATATACCCATGTCTTTCCCATTTGTATTCAGCAATCTTGTCTTTTATTTCTGTCTTTGGAAAAAATGACCACTTGATTAAATAAAAACTATTTAATATTAAGGACTATGATAAATTTATGTAAGAATTAGGTTTTTCAGTATAATTATATAGAAATTATGTCTAAGAATATTTTCTAGTTATTCCCCTGCATCTTTTAAGATTTTCTATCCAAAAATACTGTCTGTAGAGGTTAAGTAACATAGACTCACTATACTAGATATAAGCAAAGTTAAACTCTGACCTAAGTGCTCAGGAAAAGCTCTTTCCATGATAAAAGTGTATAGGATGAAAATATGCTCATTGAGACTAAATGAAGAATCTCAAAAAACTCATACCTGCTTGTTTTCTTCCATTTGGCTGTCTGCCAAGATCTGGGTTTGGAGGCTGAAGTGAAGATTCTTTCAGGAATGTGTTTTGAACACCATCCTTGTTGCCGTGCAAGAAGTGAGCTAAAATTCCATATAAAAGAGGCCTAAGGCAGGGGAAAAGAAAAAAAAAATAACTTTGCATAAAAAATAGCTTGAAACACTTATTCTTTAAAAGGTAAGCTCTGATGCTAAAACAGCCAATTATCTGACTCTAAAAAGATGTTATATTATCCAAAATGCAAACCGCTCATAGTCCTAAATTTAACAGTGCCATTTACACGGTGGTACATATCTATAATCCCAGCACTCTGGGAAGCTGAGGCAGGAGGATCAAAAGTTTGAGCCTACCCTGGGTAACTTAGTAAATTAGCAAACTTGTCTAAAAAAAATTTCAAAAGGGCTAAGGATGTAATTAAGTGAGAATGTCCTGGGTTTGATCCCCAGTATAATAAAAACAAACAAACCATAGAGAAAAATATGTTCTCATTTACACTGAAATATACTTTCAATCAACTTATAGGAAGTTAGCTTTTAAATTCCAAACCCAGGACAGTATTTCCCGATGCCTATTACTATCTAATATGAAGCAGATATTCATCGAGTAAATACCTGTTGAATAAAATACTGTCCAGAGAGGTGCTCATGTCTGGGTTTAAGTCCTGGGTTTGCCTCATGCCAGCTACAGAGCCTTGGGCAAGATTCTTAACCTCAGCAACCTCACAGCAAATGCTCCCTCTATGAAGCACAGTCCATATGCCACAAGTCTTATAGGAAGTAAATAAGCTAATTCTTGGCACATATTACATACAAACGACAGCTACACGAGAGAGATAATCATGATCTGCAATGCTTCCCCTTTGCTTTCCCTCTTGGATCACGGTCTCAGAGAGATGCCAGACACCTGAGATCCTCCACCAGTCCCATGCAGACACCTGTGGCGAGGCAGAAGGCTGTCTCTGCAACATGAAAGGGCTGCGTGGAAACAGAACCTCGGGCCCAGTCAAGCCTGCAAAGACTACCACCGGAAAGGCCCCTGGAGTAGTCGCCCAGTGGAGCCCATCTCCCAGGTTTCTCACAGACAATAACAGTTTGTTGTTTCAAGCCCCCGAATTCTAGGGTAATGTTAGGCAGTAGGGGAAAGCAGGAAAGTAAGTTTCTCTAACGTGATGCCTCCCCTCTTATGATAGCATCACCTAGGGTCCCAAGAAAGTTTTGTTTGCTTTAAGTCAACTTTTTTTCTGGCGGAACTGGGGACTGAACGCAGGCCCTTGCGCTTGCCAGGGAAGCGCTTATTTTACTGAGCTGTCTCCCCAGCCCCCAAGTCAACCTTTATACTTGTTTCAAGATATTTGCTTAAACTTTTATTTTTAACATACAACAAAAAATCTACTTCAGTTTTAAAATGTTTAAGAGTTACATATTTTAAATAGGAAATACATAATTAGTATACTTAACCTAAATTTTAAGGATATATAGGGTTTTTTAAAAAGTTTTTTTAAAGGTCATTTAAAGAAAAATATAGTCTACCTGGACATGGTGGTGCATGCCTATAATCCCAGCACTTGGAGAGCCTGAGGCAGGAGGATTGAGATCCTTAAAAAAAAAAAAAAAAAAAAAGGAAAAGGAAAAAGAAAAAGAAAATACAGCCTCACAATACCTTACCTGTAATTCTAAAAACTAGAATTTTCTTCATTTGGTGAGATGGCACAGCCTGATCCAACATAAAGCCCTTAGCAGCTTTAATTCACTATGTATGACAATTCTTCCATTTTTTAAAAATAAAAATATGATTATAGACTGTCACTTTCGATCCCATAGAGTGTATACTTGGTATTTGTTACAGAACTTTTAAGACACATCTGGCCTCAAGTGTTTTTTGGTAGAGCAATAAACATCTATAATAATAAGAGGAGAAGCAGATGGATACAGCAACATGTGAATAGATATTACTGAAGTCTCAGCAACAAGGGACCGAAGTTCCCCAACTTTGTGAAATGAAGCTATCACCAACTGACTTTTAATACTCCCACCTGCAGCCAACACTACAAAGCCACTAAGAAGCCAGTAAGCAGTTGATACATGTTCATTCCCAACAACTGCCAAAAGCTGACCACGGCAATTCCTCACGCTCACCCCAAGTCAGATTTCTCCAAGGTATTTTTCCTAGTATTCTTAACTATAGTACTTACATATTTTGCTGAAAGTGTCAAAATTTGTGCTTTTTAAAGTATTATCCACATTTTAACACTTGAGTATCTAAATACAGTGATTTGCTGTACCCATGAACATCTACATGAGCATCACACAGCTAGGATATGAGTAACTATTGCAGAAAAGGATTTTTCTGTCCAGTAAGTTTGGAAACACTAAATTTTACTGCAGGATTTCTCAGATTAACTGCTTCAATGGTATACATTATAAATCTCCAAAAGGGATGCGGTATAGACAGGCTTTTCTTTTTGAAATTCCTTTGGTGGTGAACACCTAAGGAAGTATAGCATATCCATGGATTGCACCCTAAGAACAGTTGATTCCTGGACCAAGTGCAGAAAACAGTGTCTACTACAGTGCCTGACACACAGCAAGTACTCAAATATTTTTAAGTGTAACAGCAAAACACTGGAAACAACCTAAATCTCTATTGATAAGGCAATGCAAAAATCAATTACAGTATTCAATTAAAGTATTATCCACATTTTAGTACACAGACCACTACAAAACTGTTTAAAACAAAAAGGGAAAACATGGTTATGTCAAGGAGAAATGAGAATGAGGTAGCTTTCAAAGACACCCCTAATGTCATGTAGCTAAAAATCTCAAAGTATAATAACATTCCAAATGTGAGAGGAAAGAATTCAGATGTCTATTAATCACAGTATTTCTCTGTGTGTCTGAAATAATCCATACTCTTAAAACAATTAACATTTACATAAATTGGCATAAAAAATAAGTTGTACAGGGCCAGCCAGATAGCTCAGTGGACAAAGCACCTGCTTAGGTAGAGCGCAGAGGCTAGGGTTCAACACCTGGTATGCTGTGCTGGCCCCGCCCCCGGGGCACCATGAGACTGCGCATGGTGGTGTGCATCTGTAATCCCAGCACTTGGGAGGCTGAAAACAAGAGAATCACTACAAGTCCAATCTATGTAGTAAGACCCTGTACACCCTGTCCTAAATACATTTAAAAAAAAAAGTTGTACAAACACAATCCTTCATATGTGTAGAAGAAAATATATATTGATGTGCTTTAAATATGTACAACAGCTAGGAGAGGTGGCAGATCCTGAATAGACCCAGAGCGAGGCCCAGCGCGGAACCCTTCAGCAGAACTCCCTGCAAAGAGGCTAGAGGCAAGACCTACCCAGTTGATTCAGGAGCAGAACATCTTGCCAGAGTGACACAAAGAGATCAAATCTAACCGCTGCAACAGAAAGAAGTGGAGCACAGCAGCCAGATCCAAGCCACACCCACCTGGAGGAATCTGAATTTCGTAGATCCGGACCTGGTGCTAAGGTAATAACTCTATCTAAGCTCTACACCAAAGGTCAGAAGACAGTGGTGGACAAAATGACAAAAAGAAGGAACAAAATGCAGTCTCAGGCCCCGAGTCCACCCAGTACAAATGCACAAGAC